CCTGGGACATTCGCCTTGCGCTGTGGGATTGGGAGCGTCGCATGTATCTCCAGGGGAGGACGCGTGGAATGTGGTGGTTGAGGAAGGATAAGTTCGCTAGGAGCTCCAACCTCAAAGTCGAATCGTCTTGCTTGGCGCCCGAGGTGAGAGTTTGGCCGGGCAAATAGATGTTTACGGATTGTGTCCGCAGGGGGGAGACTGCTCGTACGAGCGATGTTGCGCAGCGCTGTCTCTTCAAGTCTCAAAGACAGCGGCCACTCTTCCGCTGCAACAATTGTAGCCACGTTCTCTGCTGAAGAAGGCAGTCCCAAGCAGCTTCGTAGTGCGGACCGGTGAAAAGTATCGATGTCTCGAATTTGTGCCCTTGCAACAGCCAGTAGCGGCAGTGAATAGAGAAGCCTGGACATGATGAGCCCCTTGTACATTTGAAGTAGTGCACTTTGTGATGCACCCCAGGAGGAGCCTCCAAGCTGTCTAACGACACGTAGCAGTTGACGGCAACGTTGAAGTCTCTTGCGTACTTCAGGTCTCCATGTCACCCGATCGTCGATAATAACGCCGAGATACGTGTGGATTTTCACCCTTTTAACTGGCGTTCCAGCAAGTTTTAGACGCAGGGCATTCTGTGGTGCTCGGCCTGTGGGTCGGTAGAGGAGTGAGGCAGTCTTTTCCGCAGATAGAGTAAGGCCTAGTTGCGCTATGGCCAGTGCAGTAGAGTCCAGTGCCACCTGGAGTCGATTACGGATCCCTATAGCGTTCCTTGAGGGCCCGACACACCACAACGACAAATCATCCGCGTAGATTGCCATGCCAATCCGAAGAGCTCGATTCTTTGCTGGAAGACATCGAGGGAGGACGCTCATGGCAAGATTGAAAAGCAGAGGGCTCAATACACTTCCTTGGGGTACCCCTTGAGCAATATGTCTAGATGTGCTAGTAGCATCTGGCAATTTCACGCTCATAGACCGTCCAGAAAGAAAGGTCTCAATAAAAGATAAGAGTCTGCCACAAACCCCAAAATGATTTAGTCGGTGAATGATGGTTGGATGTGGCAATGTATCAAATGCACGACTGATGTCGAGGAACACGCAGTGTACCATTTGCCCCGTAGCCTTGGCTTCTTCTAGGGTTGAGGCAAGGTCTCCTATTGCATCCGCAGTGCACCTCTTGGCTCTAAAGCCAGAAAGTTCGTGCGAGAAGGCACCCACTCTATCCAAAAGCCAGGTTAGACGTTGAAGAACCATTCGGTCAAGAACTTTTCCCAAGCAACTTGTCAAGGAAATCGACCTGAAGGATGAGGATTTTTCTATCGGCTTCCCTTGTTTGAGTATGGGAATTACTATCGATTGTTTCCATGCATCTGGAAATGCTCCTGTCCTCTATATGTCGTTGAGCTTTTCAAGTATGCCTGGGTGGTGTATAGGGTCCACGTTCCTGAGCGACTGGTAGGTTATGCCATCGGGACCCGGAGCGCTTTTCTTTCGACAGTGATGGAGTGCTTGAGTGAGCTCCTTTAGGGTGAAGTCTGAGTAAGTTGCCAAAGATGTCTCTTTGTCTTGAGGATGACTAACCTGGCTTTGCGGTGGATTTGTCAATCTTTCTTGGTATTGATGTGGTGGAATAGAGGAGCGGGAAAATTGATCCGCTAATAGCTCTGCCACTTCCGTCATGGACATACCAGATTTGATTGAAAACCCTGCAATAGGGTGTCGTGGAACCTTCGCGCCGGAGAGGGCTCGAGCGATCTTCCAAGCGCGCTTGCCTCCACCTGGACCACCAAGAGATGCGCAGTCCTGGCTCAATTGCCACCGCTGAAGTGCCTTGGTGTGTCGCCTGAATTTAGCGTCAATTCGGTTGTAGCGAGTCCAGTCCCATGAGGCGTTGGTGTGAAGCGCCCTTCGTTGTGCCTGCCGTCGGGCTGCTCGTAGGTTTAGCCAATCAAGGTTAGGAGAGGGGCTTGTAACTGGAACTGTGACGGATCGCGCCGAAAGCCGCAGGCACTCCGCAATGCATGTAGTAAGGTCATCATAGTTGCTGCCTACAATGGCAGAAGAGAGGTACTGGCGGAATAGGTCCCAGTTAGTAACTTTGCAGACCTTGAGGTTCCTTGGAGGTGCTTTGGGGTGTGTTAACCTGATGGGAACATGATCACTTCCTCCAGTGTCCGGTTGGGCTGTCCCCAAGGCGACAACTTGTGACGATACCCACGTTATGTCTATTGTGCTGGCGTTAGTTCCACGTCTACAAAATGTTTTCGACCCGTCATTAAGAGCTCGCAGTTGTAGGGCTGCCGCAGTATCTTCGAGCTGTCGTCCCCTGGCGTCCGTTCGGTTACCGCCCCAGGATTCATTGTGTGCGTTAAAATCTCCACATATAATAAGCTGTCCTCGGCTACGTTTGTGAATTTCTTCTAGCACCTTTGCGTCCCATACGCCATGCGGGGAAATATAGGCAGATATAACCGTTGTGACGTGCCGGCCAATTGCGATTATCACCCCGGCGTATTCTGCAATTTCTGAAGACAAGTCCGTAAGATCAAGGGGGGCATATGGTATACATCGTCACGGACCAATATTGCAACTCGCGATCTTCCATCGGTACTTAGAGTTGCACTGTGATGAAAGACATAGGGAGACAGACGGACCTCTCCTGGGATCACGTGCGTTTCTTGTAGAGCCAGTACATCTCTTCGTTCAGTTGCAAGAGTTTGGCGGAGAACGGGCAAACGTGTGCGTAAACCATTTACATTCCACTGAAGGATAGAAGGAAACAATGGGCTCCGTCTTTCTCTATGGGGAGTTTTCTGCTGTATTCTTTGTGCACTGTTTCCGGGGTTACTTGTTTGTTGGCAGCGTTGATAATTCGAGGGTCCTGCTAACATACCCCAAGAAGAGGAATCATAATTTGCAGAATCGTCGTGACTGTGCGGGCCCATGATGCCTCGATGTTTCTTAATATAGTAAAGGCTATGTTCGCAGCTGCTCTGATTAGGGACGTCCATCCAGGGGCTTCGCCAGAAGATGCGCTTTTGTCCTCAGCGTCTCCCTCTTGTGTGGAAGAGCGATGTCGTGTTTGTGGCGGTTGCTTGGGTGTTTGCTCCGGAGGTTCCGATGTAGCCGCTGCGTGCGCACCGTTCCCAGCGCTTCCGTGGGCTCCTTCTGTATTAGAAGGCAAAGAATGGGTGCCTCCAGTTACCGACGCATAGGTAACAGCTCTTGACCTCGAAAGGTGTTTTGCCTGTTTACTTAGTATCTCTGGCTGGGCATCCTCTTCGCCAGACCGAGATGCCTTCTGGCCCTCCAAGGCTGACCTGGCCGCACGAAATCCAATCGAATTGGTCTTGGAGTAAGTGAGTATCTTCCGCTCTTTGATCCACTTCGGGCAGGCGTGTGATGTAGCCTCGTGATCTCCCTTGCAGTTGACACATCTCAGTGTCGGTGACTGACACATGGCATCGGTTGCTTCGTGGTGTTCTCCGCATCGTTTGCAAGCCATAGCGCGCGTGCAGGAGACCTTCTTGTGACCGAATCCGCCGCAGTTGTGGCATTGGAGCGGTTTCTCCTTATAAGGCAACACAGGGTGACGAACATACCCCAGCGGAACATAGTTTGGCAGCTGACTGCCTTGAAATGTGAGTTTCACGACGCGTGACTTTCCAAGACGTCTGATGTCGGCGATCTTGCTCTCTGAGCGGAGATTATGTTCCAGCTGTTCTTCTGTAGCGTCCATGTCAACGTCCCGAATGACGCCAACTATCGTGGGCCCAGACAAAGCTAAGTAAGTTCGAACCGGTATACCACATAAGTCCGTGGTTTTCAGAAGCGCCTGTGCAGCTTGTTCGGTCAGAACTTGTACGGCGATCAGGTTGAGACGGCCGTTGTACTGGACCTGACAGGCAGATTCCTGACATATGCCTTTCAGTGCTTCCGTAAGCTTCAGGCTACTGAGAGATGTTAATCTTGTTTCTTGATTAACTGGCACGAAGATTATGATAAAATCATCGGTTTGTCGCTTTTATGGACGTACCGTTTCCGTGCTTGACCACGAACACGTCCTTTTTGTCCTTTTTCTGGTGACGTGATTCCATTCCCCAGTGGAGCCTTCGCTGTCCATGTCAACCATCTCCGCGACGGAGGGCGTCGATGAAGACTGCGAATATGCAGGATCTTTGCAGTCCAGGGCTGGCTCCTGTTCTGAACTGCCCGCTGAACGTTGTCCAGCTGGTATGGTGCTGCTTATCTCTGATGTGGACATACCTTAAGCTCGGCGGCGTGCCGCGGCCTGCGGATGCCCTAAATACTGATATCCACCCAGGATATCTGGTCCAAAGGACCAGTAAAAAACGCTTCCAACCCAAATTTCTGAAGAGGTAGAGATTTAGCGTCTCTAGCTTGGCTAACTTCGTCGTCCTCACCACTCTCAATCTGGCGCGTGTTTAAAGCGTCTATAGCATTAGCCCACTCGGCTACCGAAATAGAGAGGGAGCCACTAAAACATCCGACAGCCAGTAGGCCAATACGAGAGAAGAAGAAGAGGGCAAAGACGGATCTCATGGAGGACTGCAGGAATACCATAGCGAGGAAAGAGAAGGAAGAAACTACGGAAATTCTTGCTCCACACTCGACCGCCACCAAGAAGAAATCGGTCAAAAAAATGATCGAGAGGGAGGCATCGTCGTGGTGCGGAAGAGCTGTGGCTTGTCTTTTAGGTGAGAGGACACCGTAGTACGCCACGCCTATACGTACAGCGGGCTCGCTTGTACTCGCTCGCTTCAATTGTGTTGTTCTATTTATCTTTTTTATTTTTTTTAACTTTTGCTTTGACTTTTTTTTTATTTTATAACAATGGCAATGATAATAACCGTCATTTATTGTGGATTGTTAAGCAGCCCTTTTTTCTGCAACATTTTATTAGTTAGAAAATTTTGCTTCTGCTGCACCACAGTTTGTTTAGTTTGCTTATTACTGTTTTCAGTGACCGTGCTGCTGGTTGTGATAATCATGTGGATCGTGGTCATGATTGCCGGAGGTAGCGCGAACCCGTTCAAACATTTGTGGCCCTTCAAGCGAGAGCTGACTGTCAAAACGAGCCTCGGCGAGGTTCGGGGTGCCCTGTTGCAAGTCCTGAACAAGACCATTCGTGTCTTCTACGGCATACCCTTCGCAACAGCCCCGAACCGCTTCGCGACGGCCGTGCCCCACTCACCCTGGCGGGGAGTCCGGGACGCACAAAACCCCCTGCCTAATCGATGCCCTCAACCGGCGCACACCCACTACTTCGACGTGCCCGTCAATTCGTCGACTCAAGAGGACTGTCTATTCATCGATATCTACGCTCCCGACTCCGTACCCGACGCCCCCCGAAGGCCCGTCGTCTTGATTCTTCACGGCGGCGCTTTCCAGACGGGATCAAACAGAGACCCCCTTTACGACGGGAAATTCCTGGCGGCCGTCGGAGAGGTGATTGTCGCTGTTCCGAACTACCGATTGAACGCGTTCGGCTTCTTCCAGACATCCCTTGATACGTCGCCGGGAAACCAGGGGCTCTGGGACCAGCACCTGGCGATTAAGTGGGTTCACACGAACGCCCCCGTCTTCGGCGGAAGGCGAAGCCTGGTGACCCTCTTGGGTGTGGACAGTGGAGCCATCAGCGCCGGACTGCACCTCTTGTCCCCGGTGAGCCGAGAGCTGTTCAGCAGGGTCATCATGCAAGGCGGCAGCCCTTTTTACATGGGCGAGTTCGCCCCTTACGTCGATGACGCCGAACTGGACACGTTTGCCAAGAGTGTCTGCTCCAATAGGTCTCGAGAAGGCCCAGAGGACGAGAAGTACACGCTCGAATGTCTCCGAAATGCGTCCGTATCCGAGCTGCTCGACAACCTCGACCCCTTCGACGGAGTCAACAAAAAATCCTTCGGTCCGTACTATGGAGAGAAGGGCGAAGGCCGTTTCACTCGTCAGCTCCAACACGCCATACACAATCGTCCCGCGAACGCCATGAGAGGCAAAGACCTCCTGATCGGGTATACGTCCAACGAGGGCGAGTACTTTATGAGGCTACTGTCTGTCGCCTGGTCCGTCTCGTCCGTGAACCGCTTTCCGAGGGCTTTGGTGAGAATATTTCTGGAGCGCCTTTGCCTCCAGTTCTACTCGAGACCCAAGCTGCTTCCGCTACTGGACTTCTATTTCGGCCGCAAGAACGCCTCTTCCAACGTGGACTGCTTCCTCGAAGCGTGCCACTTCCTCGGCGACGTCTACGTCAAGTGTCCGGTCGGCATGATGGCCGACCACGTGTCGGCGAGCGGGGGACGCGTCTTCGTCTACGAGCTGGACCTGGAAACGGAGTCCGTGGCGCCGGCGGCAGGGTTCTCGCGGGGCGCCCCTCACTACGCCGATGCCCTGCTTAGCCTCGGTCACGTGTACCACTGGAATTCGACGACTCCGTCCACTGCTCTCAACCTGAGCGCCGAACTCATGCGCCGTTGGGCGGCTTTTGCCAGCACCGGGTACGAAGCTTCCGCTCCTTTTCGCGGTTTCCGCTTGTCACCGTTTTGTAAAGAAAGAAATCTCGGTGAATAGCTAGAAGCAGCTTAAATGGGAATAGAAACGAAACGTTAGCAGTTATTTCTTTGTCTATGGATGGGGTCTATGTTTTGCCGGGAGCCCCAAAACGCTAACTTAGACTAAACTCCGTTTCACCTTAAGTTGTACCGCAAACAAGGCTAGGAGCGCGAGCTCATAGCGTTGGGAGATACCCTTAACGCACGAGAGCTTGTGCCGCCGAGATGTGCCCTAGAGCAAGGAGCTCGCGCTCGTAGCCTTTCCTGCGGTGCATCATAAGGTAAAACAGAGTATAGTGTTTTCAAGCTGCAGTCAGAGAAGTCAAGAAAACGTATTTTAAAACGAATTAACAGGTTTCGAAATTGCGTCTGGTGGCGGTCTGTGAAGCTCCGTTGCAATGCCGTCACCTCGTTCCTAAGAAGCAGCGCAAATTCAGGGCAGTATGGCTCGCTCGTGGAGTTACTTAGTCCTGAATGTGACTTGGTACGAACGCTAAAGCGTTTACTATACTCCGTTCACCATTAAGCGGAGACTACAGCCAATGCCACAAGCACGAGAGTACAAGGACGCTGCTTTGAAGCATTCTTCGCTGAACGAGCTCTCGCGCTAAAAATACACTTCTCAATGCCAGCTGCGCGAGTCCCCTCGCGCTTGTAGCTTATTCTGCAGTCTCAACTTAAGGGTGAACGGAGTATATACTCTGTTCACCCACAAGCTGAGACTGCAGCTTTGACCTTTTTTGTTTTGTTTTTAAATAGCAAGCTATGCTTGCTATTTTCAAAAACGTCAAAAATGAAAAGACGTCACGACTGGTGTCAGTGCGGGGGAATGTACACATTTCGCAATGTTCACAAGTCCTCGACCCTTGCGTGCCACCTTTTCATCCCAGCACGCTCATGTTCGTCGCTTTACAAAGTGAACAAATCACACGCCATACGCACGAACGCTGAAAATGGCACCGTCCATGAGCCTTTTTTTGGAAAGGTCTGTGCCCGGCAGGCTTAGAATTGCACGCGCTGCCCACACGAGCGACACGCGCTTCGCGGCCGAAATATCATTTTATAACGTAACGACTGGTCGGAGGTTTGTCTTCGTGTTTTCTCGCGTCTAGTTACATCTTTTGAGAAAACAAATGTGATATGCAGACTCACGGGTAAAAATACTCTAAAAATCACCTCTAATTCGTTTTTTTTCTTTTCTTTTTCCAAGAACCTCTACAGTTCTAAAGTGAACGGGTTTTCAAGCAATACACCAACTCACCTACGTCACGCCACGAATTTGGTTTCTGCGCACGCGCAGTGCCCACACCTGGTGTGGGCAAAGCGGGCTTTGTTTGTAAACGCTGTGTTTGTGTCTATAGAGCCTCGGGTACGTCTTCCAGTGTTTACCGCATCCTCAAAGGTGGTTCCTTCATTTCCACCTGATGATAAGGATGGATGGATGGATGGATGGATGTTATTGGGTGGTAGCTTGCGCCACCTAGCCTAATCGTCATGAAAGTGTCATGCTGTTGCTTGCCGTGATCTTGGTGGTGTCACAGCAGCGGTGGTGTAAGTGGCAGTCGCCTGTTGTGCTGCGGGTCGCCCTCCACCTCGACAGCCCCCGGAAGCTTCGGCAGCTAGGGGTTGGGACGCCGCGGCGACAGCGACATTGCGGTCGCTCGTGCTTTTTGCCGGAACGGTGAAAGCCAAACGCCAGGGTTCGATATCCTACAACATAATAGACAAGCTGTATATGCCCAGCTTGCGTGACACACCGGCTAGTGTGACGTAATTTATTACCACCTCAGGACCACTTTTGATTCACGGGTGGGATAGGACGGTAAACACGCCAGTCAGAAACGTGCGCCATGCACCGTAATTCAAACACACGACGAAGGTATAGTTGAAGTTGGTTTGAACAAGAGTGCCCCAATGCCCTTCTGTTCATGGTGATGCCATCGTTTGTAGTATCCGATGCCGACAGCAGGCGCTCACAGGGAAAATAGAAAGAAATCGCAGGAAACAAAATGTCGCTGTAGCACACTCAGCGCCACGAGCGCGTGCAGGAACACGCTCTTTCACGTGCTTGAGAACAAAAAATAAGAATATGCGTTCGAAACAAAAAGGCCAGATGACACCACCCGAAGCAAAGCGCTCATGAAGGCACCCTAGGTTGAACAGCTTGTAAGCTTCAAATTTGCAGCTACTGTTTCGTTCAGAGACTCGCTTTCTTTGGGTCCCCGAAGATGTCTCTTCGCGAAACTTTCTCTAGCACGCAGGGGCTTGCAAGTGGCTCCTTTTCAAATGCAACGTCGAGATAGTTGTAATCGAGCAGCACGGTCTTGCAGCGGTCATGAGCTCAGAGGCGTTAGTAAAGGGGTTCGATGGAGCTGCTTGCGGTCCTAGCTGGTGAATGGGTGGTGACATAGAAGGAAACGTGGAACGGAAGCTGGCGGCGGGGAACCGGATTGAGCCGTGGTGAGTCGGAGGAGGAGATGCGTTATGGCCGGCCCGCCGGCCCACCAATGGAAATGTCTCTGTCCACGTGCTCGGTACGTGGAGTCGCTCAAGAGTCGGGCGACGCCGCGACGCCCGACAACCCGAGCCACGCAAGCCTTGCCGAAGCCTTGACCTCCTCTCCAACCCGCTCGTGAACGTGATTAGTAGCATACAGTGGTTTTGTCGTGGAAACTTCACAGGGCAGGACGCCGTAGCTTGCCAGAACGTGTCGTGGTGAGGAGTGAAGTATCCCCGGCTTTGCCGTGAACTTTCTCCGCGCTACGGCTACCAGGATAAAGCGCGAAACACATGTACGACGAAACCGTCCGATCCGACGTCCGACCGAGCAATACGTCGGTCGGAGGAGAGGGTTTTCATCTCTGATGTTAGCCTGAGACTGAGGCAGGAAAAGAGGAAGTTCCAAAGTAGAGTTCCAAAGTTTTCCACGCTCTCCGATGCTACGAACACCCTCTCCCCCCAAGGTCATTCCGGCAGTCCGCACGTCGGATCGGACGGTTTCGTCGTACATGTGTTTCGCGCTTAAAGGCCGCTGTACAAACTGTACAAGCACGCTAGTTTCACGATCAAGAGGGCCTAGCTTCGAAACCGGGCAGGGGATGGTTTTCTTCACGTGTTCTTTTTTTATTTCGTTTATTTTTTTGTTCGGTCACGTGACAATAAAAATAACATGAACAGAATTTTTTTTTTTTTTTTTTTTTTTTTTGCCACGCCACCAGAAATTTTTTTTAAATTATTTCTCCTTTTCTTCTGTCTTTTTTCTTTTTCCCTTTTTTCGGTTTACGCTCACTTATGCAAAACTCTTTGCACCTATTTCGCGTAACTTTGGCGTTAGCCAAATCATTTCATTTATGGCAGGGAATTCTGCCGTACGTATCTTATGTTACTATTACCAATCCTGGCTTGCAATACGCATAGAGGATTTCGTCCGGCAACCAGTTTGGGAATGACGAGACCAAATTTGTGTTATAATTTTTTTTAGGTATAAGCATAATTTCGGCCTCGTTATCCGTCGGTCTCTATGATTGGCTCTTCAAGTATCTTTTGAGAAGGCAGACGAGTGGCATTTTTAGAGTGCACGTGTGTCGACCAGAGTGAACATTGCCGAAGCGCCTCCAGTGTGATTTTGGCCGTAAATAACTGGAGACCCCGGGCAAGCCCACCCAATGTAGAAAAGTATCTACCTTTCTGGTTTCATAGAGAGCTATAAAGGGACGAATCCCAGCCGAGTCAAACTACCGGCTTGCAAACGCAATCGTGTTGACAATAGCTCCAAGGAGTTTGTATGACACTCTCTGGCGGTGTGCAGAGGGTAAAGGCACGGAGGTAATATATGCTTTTGCCCAGTCACCTCGCGAACGGTTGGGTATTGGCTGCAGAGATTCATTTCGCTTTGTTTTATTACCGGGATTATAGCTTGATTTCTGTGTTCCTAATTTCACAGACAGAACGAAATCGCTTTTCTCGTGTGGCGTCACGGCGGCGAGACAGAAATGAATCAGTGTACCGGAATTCGACGCTTGTGCTCGTTCTATAGCGCTTCTAAAAACCGTGCGATCACGGCTGTGCAACGTCAACAACGCATAAAATGCAGTTACTTGTACTCGTATTGCATCGTGAGGGAACGACTATGACTGGGTAAACAGGAATAGGGAGAATGGGTGCGTCTGATTTGTTGAAGTTGGAATCAACAAATCAAGCTTCAACGAATGCGATAGTATTGCATTCACTGAACCAGCTATATGAGTTTTCAGACGGTATATACCTTCCAAGTATGCGATTCGTGTTCTGCCAGTGGTACCTCAGCTAAATTAAAAAGCAAAATCCACGTTGAAAAAAAAAAAAAAAAAGTTTACGGTGGCTCAGTTGCTCCCGCGCCAAATCATGTTTCACGTAAGCGTAATCTTGGGGTCGATGCACGACGAGTTGTCTTCAATCATAAAAATAGTTTGATTACGATTATTGGCAACGCTAAAAATTTGAAAGCCAAGCAATGAAGACAACGGTGTTCTTATAAATATTATATACATTTTATTTTACACTGTTTGAATACGCTGCCGTCGTTATGTTCTTGAATTATTGGCTAGCTTATGGCGGACAGGGAAGTCTTGCAGGACCATATGATAGAACCTACACTAAACCTGCCGCGCTTCGAAAAATGTTAGTCCAATGCATACAAGCTTGTTCAAGGCGGACGGAGCGTTGCACATCCGGCAAAGCGCAATCGGACGCTGCCCGCGGCGTTTTTTTTTTTTTTTTCTTTTTTTTTTGTTTTTTTTTTGAGCAGCGAAATAGTTTTTAGTCAAGCAGCAGGCCCCCTCTTCGGCGGGTTAGGCCGGATTAACGGAGGCGTCTCCTAATCCATTCTCCGTGTTGGCCCCTCGGGGGAGGGCGGTAAACAGGTGGGGGAGGGCGGTGAAGGAAGGAAAGGAGGGCAGGAGAGGAGGACACGCAGAAAAAGTGGAAAGCGCGAACTGTACGGCGGCCTTTAAGATTCCAGCTTATTCAGCATTCAGCCCC